TTGCATGGTGGACTGCCATGGAACGACGACAAGCCCGAGACCCTAAACGCTAACTACCCGAGATACTAAGCGTCTGGTATAAGTGTCAAAGTACGGGCCCAAACAAGCACATAAACATAGGGATCCTCCAAACAGGGCTTTTCGGAATCCCCCTTTTTCCCCCTTTTTTGGGGCCTTTCTACCCCGGCCCCAGACGTAGGATCCTTCTGCGTTGTGTGGTATTTGTTGGGTCCCTTACAAAGTTGGTTCCTTAAACCCTAAACCCTAAACCCTACACCCTAAACCCTAAACCCTAAGCCCTAAGCCCTAAACCCTAAACCCTAAACCCTAAACCTCTCAGCTCTGGGTCCAAGGCGACGGAGATGAAAACTGCCAAGGAAGCTGGCAACTCCGCCTTCAAAGCAGCCAAGGCAACTTCGGGGCGTTCCAGCAAGTTACGGCTGGGCAGGGAAGGAACAACTGGGTTTAGGGTTTAGGGTCTAGGGTTTAGGGTCTAGGGTTTAGGGTTTAGGGTTTAGGGTTTAGGGTTTAGGGTTTAAGTTTGAGGGTTTGGATCTCCATGGCGAACCCCAAAGCATGTAAACCGCCAACCTTCCAAGCCCTACACCTGCAACTCCACATCTCCAAAGTCCTAAGCCCTAAACACTAATTATAGGGTTCTAAAAGGAGGGGGGCTCAAGGGGGGTGTGTAACCCAAGGCTCCCCAATAATTACTCCCCTTCCTAAGGCTCCCTAAGCTTCCCTAAGGTTCCCTACCTAGGTACCTACCCCCCTTGAACCCCCCCTCCCTTAACAACCCTCTAACCCTAACCCCTAAACCCTAACCCCTTCTGCCCTAAACCCTAAACCCCCAAACTTTAGGACAGGCTAAACCCGGATCTGCCAAACGCCAAGAGCCAAGGACTCGAGTACCCCAGAAGCCATGAACACAAGAGTCAGTGTGCTAACAGTCTTTGTGGTGCTTTTTGCTGTAGTTAACTTTAGATCCCTAGCCGTTTTGGGTTTGTTGGGTTTCCTACTAAGGCAGCTAAACATTTAGTTTATAGCTACCCTCCTCAGTCCAGCCAAGACAGTCCTTAGGCCTGCAAAACCTTGAAGCCCTCAAGCGTTTAAGCCCACGAAACCCCAAAACCTTAGAACCCATATACGAAAAACGACAAGCTCTTTAAAGAAAGCCTGCACCCCAGAACCCCTAAACCCAAACCCTGAATTTTTAGCCCTATACCCTACACCCGAAAGCCCCTAAACCCTCAAGCCCAAACCCTAAAACTCGGTTTTGGAGTACTATACTTTAATACTTGTTTTGGTTCTGGGTTCTTTTTTTTGCTCTATACTTTACTGTTTTTTTGGTTCTGGGTTCCTTTTTTGCCACTTATATCTAAAAATCCAAAAAGTTGCTCCTTTTTGTCCAGGGTCTACTCCAAAGTAGGGAAAAAGAGGCCCTAAGCCCTAAACCCTAAACCCTGAAGGGTCTACTCCAAAGTAGGGCAAAATGCCCCAAGCCCTCGAGGGTTCCCACCCGACCAGGAGGCTGGCATGTCCGATTCCAAGGCAGCCGAGGCTGCCGTGGCGCGGCTCATTCCGTTTCCGGTTAGGGTTTAGGGTTTAAGGTTTAGGGTTCGGGGTTTGGGGTTTAGGGTTTAGGGTTTAGGGCTTAGGGTTTAGGGTTTAGGGGTTCAAGGGTTTAGGCATTCCCCTGAACCACCCTAAGAATTGTTGTAGGTAAGACTTTGGGTTTTCAGGCTCCAGATATGTCCACGGACACTGAACCCTAAAGCCCCTAAGCCCTAAACACTAAACCCTAAACTAAATAAGCATGCGCCCCCAAGGCCCGTGTGGCTGGCTTGGCGGCGCAGAAAGCTGCTGTGGCCTCCGGGAAGACGATTTCGGAGCTACTTGTTCAGTTAGGGTTTAGGGTTCAAGGTTTATGGTTTAGGGCATATTGTGTAGTGTTTAGGGTTTAGGTTTTAGGGTTTAGGGTTTAGGTCTCGGTTTGAGAAGCTTGAGGATCTGTTGCTGGTTTTGGATTTGGGGTTTAGGGTTGGGGGGTATAGGGTCTAGGTTTCAGGGTTTCCGCAAGCAGGCCCTTCAACATGGGGTGCCTCAACCCAAACTACCCTAACCTGGTTCGTATGGAAGGACCCTTGGCGTTCACAATCAGGGGATTCATTTCGAGGGTAGTAACGCCCTCCGAAAATTTTGTCACGAAGAACCAGAATCCCCTCAAACCCTAAACCCTAAACCCTCTTTAAAAAGAAACAGCCGACATGGTCCAGGAGCACTTCCTTCACGCTAGGTCTGGTCCGGGGTTCACGTCTCATAGCTCCAGGGGGCGACTTCCAGCATCGAAGTTTAGGGTTTAGGGTCTAGGGTTTTCCCTAAACCCTCAACACCTCAGCCCAGACTAAGCCCTAGCCGTAGTATGGGGGGTTTTCCGAGAATCGACGTACCCTTTTGGGGGCTCCTTTAAGGGGACAGAACAGGGGTTACCCCTATTGTGGGAAGCGCCGGCATCAACATCTTGCAAGCTTATCATACCTGCATGATATACCCCTAAGGCTCCCTGTACCTGTATGGCATATACTTGGGCTTCAAAAGCGTTCCTATGAAGCCCTAAACCCTAAACCCTAAACCATAAACAATGAGTTAAAACTATATAGGTACATGAACCCCTGGGGGTGCCCCATCGTCTTAGTTTCCCTTAAGGAGTGTTCCTTAATTCATATAGAGATCCTTAATATGATATGATTTAAGGTATATTCCTCAACTAAGGGGTTTTGGGCTCTTTGGGCATGTGCAACCCCCCCCCCCCCCTCCCTCCCCACGAAAAACGGTTCGCTAGCTGTCTCGCCTTGAACCTCGGGAGGGCTGTGGCAGGCATGGCATGCGTGTCAATTCAGGTACATCGAACCCACATACCTCATCCCCCAGGTTTAGGGTTTAGGGTTTAGGGTTTAGGGTTTAGGGCTTAGGGCTTAGGGTTTAGGGTTTAGGGTTTAGGGTTTAGGGTTCCCTAACCCCAAATCCTACACCCTAGTAATCACCCATGAGCCTTGAAGAGAGGCCCTACGCCAGCGGCCCCGGAAAAGCCAAGGGTTGGGGTTATGAGGGCTTCGGGATCATGCAGTGTGAACCCGGAAATAGAGTCTTTAGGGTATAGGGCTTAGGGTTTAGGACTTGATCGGGGGCCTTTCAACTGAAAGCTCTTTTTTATATACAAGCCCTGGACATTTTTTTAGACCCTGAAGGCCCTTCAGACTTTAGCCCAAGACCGCAATCCCAAGAAACACTCCTGCACACCAACGAAGGATTGCCAGTGCCGCCGGCGATGCTGCCTACAAAGCCGGCAAGGCCGCCAATCAGAGAACTTGGGTTCCGGGTTTAGGGTTTAGGGTGTAGAGTTTAGGGTTTAGGGCTTGGGGGTTTAGGGCTGAGGCTGTGCCACTTCTACCTAAAGCGAACTTCAAGCCTCTAAGCTCCCAAACCCTTGACCACTTCGGCCCCAAAACCCCTTTACCCTGGAACGCTGTAAAGCTCGCAAACCATCTCCGCACCCTCAACCCGGAACCTCCTAAACCCTTAGGGAGGGTTTAGGGTTTTGGGTTTTGGGTTCAGGGTTTAGGGTTTAGGGTTTAGGGTTTAGGGTTTAGGGTTTAGGGTTTAGGGTTTAGGGTTTAGGTTGGTTTTAGTTTTTTGGTTTAGGGTATAAGGCCTCGTGGCAGCTGTAGGACTCAACTGCCGCTGTCGGAGGTCAAGTCTCAGCCATGGTTTTTCATGTTCTTACGAAAGGGAAACGCCTAAAGCCCTAGTTTCGCAAGTTTGGGTCTCGCACCGTGGCTGCACATCCATCTCTGCAACGTTTACAGCTGGGACCCTCATGTAGATTGTCGATGACGATCCCTGCTCCGCAGTGTGGAGTTGCGACGAAACCCTCAAGCCGATTTGGACCCCAAAACCCGAAACCCTAAACCCTGAACCCTAAACCCTAAACCCTGGCAGGGTTTACGCGTTAAGTGTCTGCTGTCTCTTGACAGGGCGGAAGTAACTATAAAGTGAAACAGAATCCCGATACCCTGGACTCTAAACCCCTAAACCCCTGAACCCCAAAACCCTAAAACCCCAAAACCCTAAAACTCTCAAACCCTAAAACCCTAAAACCCTAAAAACCCTAAAACCCTTAAAACCCTGAAACCCTTAAAACCCTAACATCCTAAAGCCCAAAAGCCCTTAAAACCCTAAAACCCTAAAACCCTAACTCCGTAGCACCCTAAAATCCTAAACCCTAAAACCCTAAACGCCTAAACCTAAAGCCCTAAAGCCCTAAACCCCTACACCCCCTACACCCCAAAAAACCCAAAACCCCAAACCCCAAACCCTAAACCAAAACGCCCTGAACCCCGAAACCTCAAACCCCAAACCCTAAACCCGAAACCCTACACCATAAAACCCTAAACCCTCAGCCCTAAACCCCAAACCCTAAACCCTAATCCCTAATCCCCAAAACCCCTAAACCGCAAACCCTGGACCCTAAACCCTAAACCCCAAACCCTAGACCACAGGCCGCCGGCATGAAGCTGAACTACACGGCCGCGGAGGCCGCAGCGGCGGCTGCAGGCTCAGCAGCGGCGGATGAGCCCCTGGGCCGGGTTTTGGAGTTTAGGGTTTAGGGTTTAGGGTTTAGGGTTTAGGGTTTAGGGTTTAGGGTTTAGGGTTTAGGGTTTAGGGTTTAGGGTTTAGGGTTTAGGGTTTAGGCCTGCCTCCCTTACAGCCGCTTGGATCTTAAGGAGTCTGGGTACCTAAACCATAAACCCTAAATCCGAGACCCTGAACCTTGAACCGCCAAATCTCCACAATCCAGACTCCAATATCCCTTGATTGAAGCTAAGATAGGGGTTCCAGCAACAACCATCAGTGAAGGCATTCTCCGGAAATAAGGGATGCGGACAGACTTCTCACAGGAACCCAAATTCAGGATCCTTTACACCAAGTGCTTGGAAGCTCTTTTGACGTAGCAAGTCTGCTTAGTATTCTTTAGAGGCCCTCTCCTAATCCCCATACCCCACCTTGCTAACCCTACTTACTAAGTCAAACGGGCTTGCAAGTAGGGGATGTCAAGATCAGAAGGATGGCTACATTGGTGAACTCAAGACCTACCTGGTCCCTTTTAGGGTTTAGGGTTTAGGGTTTAGGGTTTAGGGTTTAGGGTTTAGGGTTTAGGGTTTAGAGTCTTTGAGTGTCTTTTTGCGGCGCTACCTCACTTTTGCCAACAGAAAGAGCAAAAACCGGAGGCCGGTGTCCAACGCAAACGATCTTCGCCCGAATAGGGTATTTTGACGAAAATAGGTGTAATTATTGTTTTCAGGATTCCTAGAAGAGACGGATGATAGCATTTTGGGGGTGTAGTCGTGGGCATTTTGTGACATACCCGAATCCCTAAACCTCTGAGCACGTATGGGTTCGACTCTTACACCCCTGTCAACCCTGTGCACTGCGATGCTGGGTAGTAGGAGACCCTAGAAACCCCAGGCCACAAACCTCCAAACCCTAAAGCCCTGTAAGCCCTGAAGCGAGGACCGCCTCCGCTGGAGAGAGCAAGAAGCGGATCGTCAGGGTCCGCCCCCCCCCCCCCCCCAGCTCGAGGGTTCGTCAAGTCATGGATATGAAACAGGGTTTCTATTACTGATTATTGGTGAGTGTATACAAGGGTCAACCTTAAAAACCCAAGGAACCCAATACCCCTCAATTAAGGAACATACCTTAAATCATATGAGGTAGGGTATATAGTACTGTTATTGGTAAGTGTATATACGGTTCCATCTGAATATTGGCGAGTGCATATATTGGGTGTCCTTCTGGGGATACAAGAAATATAAGCCCTGCTTCATATCAGCTGGCTGGTTGCCTGCTCGGCACGGGTTTAGGGTTTAGGGTTTAGGGTTTAGGGTTTAGGGTTTAGGGTTTAGGGTTTAGGGTTTAGGGTTTGTTTGGGCATTGGAGGTCAACGGACAGCCACACCTAAGTTGACCGCATCTCTGCTGCTCCTGCACTTCCCTAGCCCTAGCCCCGAAACCCTAAACCCACAACCCTCTCCATCATATCTTAGTTGACACGGTCAAGGCCAAAAAGTCGTGGTTCAAGGCCAAAATACCGTGGCTCAAGGCCAAACATTCGTGGTTCAAGGCAATTCGTCGTTTTTGGTCTTGAACGACGATTCTTTTGCCTTGAACCATGGTTCAATGCCAGTTTTTTTCCTTGAACCATGGTTCAAGGCCAAATCGTTCGTGGTTCAAGGCCAAGACTTCTTAAACCCTAAACCTACACCCTAAACCCTAAACCCTAAACCCTAAACCCTAAACCCTAAACCCTAAACCCTAAACCCTAAACCCTAAACCCTGGCCTCAGGCGGCAGCCAGGGCAGCTCGCAAGAGCGGCAAGGACCACGGCATGACGCAGCTCGGACTGAGGTTTAGGGTTTAGGGCTTAGGGTTTAGGGTTTGGGGTTTAGGGTTTAGGGTTTGGCGTTTTAGGGTTTAGGGTTTCGGGTTTAGGGTTTGCGGGTTCAGGGTCGAGGGTTTACGGACCTTAGACAAGCTGCTGCTACTGTTTAGGGTTTAGGGTTTAGGGCTTAGGGCTTAGGGTTTAGGGTTTAGGGTTTAGGGTTTAGGGTTTAGGGTTTAGGGTTTAGGGTTTAGGGTTTAGGGTTTAGGGTTTAGGATCTAGGGTTTAGGATCTAGGGTTTAGGATCTAGGGTTTAGTTGCTCATGTGGTCCTTTCCTGGCTATCTCAGAGGCAAAGAACGATCTAGGCAAGCTCCTGGTAGCTCTTTGCAGTTTCGACTTAAGCCCCAACACCTGAACCCTAAACCCTAAACCCTAAACCCTAAACCCTGAACCCTGAACCCTGAACCCTAAACCCTAAACCCTAAACCCTAAACCCCAAACCCCAAACCCCAAAACCCTAAACCCGAACCCCAACCCGCAGCTTCAAGCTCACCTTCACATCCATCGGGATTTTTTAGTGTAAGGCTTTGCTGCCCCCAACCTCCCAGAGACTCTCCCCCAGGAGCCACTCCCACATATTCCCTACCTTTTTTGTCTAGGGTGTTTAGGGTTTAGGGTTTAGGGTTCAGGGTTCAGGATTTAGGGTTTGGGGTTTATAGGGATTAGGGTTTTGCGTTTAGGCTTTAGTTCTGAGACCCGTAGCTCATAAACACCTTACTTGGACGGCTACGTACCGTTATCCTCATCGCTTTCTTCCTGAGGGATGGGATCCCTTAGCAGCCCAAAACCCTAAACCTTAAACCCTGAACCCTAAACCCTTTTTCTCCTTGGGACATATTTTTGTTAGTAGATCGCCTTCCTTTCAATGGCTGCTTGAAACCTATCCGGGCTCCCAGAAGCCCAAAATCCTAATCCCTTCGGAACCCAAATTGCTTCCCAAACCCTAAGCCCCAAACCCCGAAACCCGAAGCCCTAAACTCGCCCCAAACCCAAGACTCCAAACCCCAAAACCCCAAACCCTAAACCCCAAACCCCGAACCTAAACCCTAAACCCCAAAGCCTAGACCCCCAACCCCAAACCCCAAACCCCAAGTCCTGAACCCTAAACCCCAAACCCCAAACCTTGAACCCCAAAACACCCAAACCCTAAACCCCAAACCCCAAACCCCGAACCCAAACCCCAAACCCCAAACCCTAAACCCCAAACCCCAAACCTTGAACCCTAAACCCTAAACCCTAAACCCTAAACCCCAAACCTGGCAGACACAGCCGAGGAACGCACAGGCGGCACAGGCAGCTTCGACTGCCGCGGGACTGGCGCCTCGAGCGGTTTAGGGTTCAGGGTTTAGGGTTTAGGGTTCAGGGTTCAGGGTTTAGGGTTTAGGGTTTAGGGTTTAGGGTTTAGGGTATGGAGTTTAGCGTTTAGGGTCTCCGCTGCTTGTTGACACAGGAAGGGTGTGGTTCGGGTTGCAGGGCGAATCGGGCTACAGGGGGTCGAAAGGGTCTAATCTTATGTGTCAGCCCTTGCGTCCCAGCCACTGTTATCCTAAACCCTAAACCCTAAACCCTAAACCCTAAACCCTAAACCCTGTGGGTAGTTGGGTTTAAGGCTTCTGGCTGCCTAGAGGGCTTCCTCAAGGGGTTATAGAATTAGAATGAAAGGCTTCGGGTTCCTTCTGAGGGTTCTCATTCGTTCTCTTCGACACAGGACAGAACTCCGGGTCGGGTCGATCCCCAAACCGTTTAGTGACGTTTAGTGTTTAGGCGTAAGCCCCTAAACCCTGAACCCTAAACCCTAAATTCTAAACCCCACAAGATTTCGTGTTTAGGGGTAGGCCCTGAAACCTGGAACCCCAAGTTGCTCTCGAGGCAGCCGCCACCCAAGAAGCCGTGAAGAGACTCGGCTTGAAGCTGCCTGGGGGGGGGGGGGGGGGAGGTTTAGGGTTTAGGGTTTAGGCTTTAGGCTTTAGGCTTTAGGGTTCAGGGTTTTAGGGTTGAAGCATGGCAGTGGGTTTCTCTGGTAGGGGAAGCCGGTGGAGGGGGGAGGAAACACTACGCAGGTACCCTTTGCTTCAGGCACAAGCTGTAGGTAAAGCATGTGCCAGGAGACCTGCTACTGCATTGCTGAGGCTTCTGTGACAAGCAGCTGAGTTTTTTCGGGCAGTTGTTCGGAGGTTCATGGGCAGCTCTATGTTTTAGAAGGGCTCTACGCAACCCTAGCCCCTAAACCCTACACCCTAAACCCCCATCTTATACCGTGGGCTCGGGACTTCTTTATCACCGTATCTCAAATCCACCCACGAACCTTCAGTGCCGAGCTGCTGTTGGTGTGTTGAGTTCCAGGCTCTTTGTATGGTCTTGAAACTCTTGAGCAACCTGACACACCCTAAACCTTCAACCCTAAACCCTAAACCCTGAACCCTGGTTTTGTTGGCTGGCTATAGGGCTTCAGAACTTTGGAGATTGAAAGGGAACCGAAGCCCGAAACCCTAAAGCCCCAAAAGCACCCCACCCTCAAGCAGGACTTTGGGTTTAGGGTTTAGGGCAACACACTTTCGCTTCCCCGAACCCACATGTGTGGTTCAGGGTTGAGAGTCCCACAAAGGAGTAGGTTCTGGAAGGTCAAACCCTACCAAAAAAGTAGATCCTGGAATGTGTGGCAGGGGTTGGGTTTTGGGTTTTGGGCTTTGGGCTTTGGGCTTTGGGCTTTGGGCTTTGGGCTTTGGGCTTTGGGCTTTGGGCTTTGGGCTTTGGGGTTTGGGGTCAGGCAAGCTTGAGGCAAAACCTTGCATGACCGCCGCATGAGGCACCCTCATACGGAGGACCCCTGGAAGCAGCGCGCCCACCAAACCAATGCCCAAAGCCTGAAAACCCTGAACCCTTAACCCGGTTGCCATAACCCTACACCCTAGACCCTAAACCCTAAAAACCTAAACCCTAAATGCTCAGGAACTCGGGATCCACAGCGTCCACCACAGCCTCCAGCAGCACGACCAAGGCACGGAAGAGCCGCAAGCTGACCTTTTGGCGGGTTTAGGGTTTAGGGTTGAGGGTTTAGAGTTCAGGGTTCAGGGTTTAGGGTTTATGGATTGACCTAACCCTAACACTAACCCCCCCCCCCCAAAAAAAAAAGAGCTCTAAACCCTAAGACCCGAAGCTGACAGCAATATCAACATCCTAAACCCTAACCCTAAACCCTAAACCATACATCCAGAAGCACGAAGCTCAACGTCCAGGTCCTTCACGGCATTGTTTTTTTTGTGGTTTGGGGTTTGGGGTTTGGGGTTTGGGGTTTGGGGTTTGGGGTAGTTAGTTGCGTGGTGCCATGCTTGCATCCTAGCCCCTGGGAATTCTTACACGTCGTTTCAAGACAGCTTAGGGCCTTTAGGGCTTCTCCTAACCCCCCCCCCCAAAAAAAAAAAAACTGAATTCAGGGGTTTAGAGTTTAGGGATGTAGGGTTTCAGGTTTTAGGATTTACGGTTTTTTGGTTTATTTGGTTTTAGAGTTTTAGGGTTTAGGGTTTGGGGGTTCAAGGTTTTCTTTTGGGGTTACCAAGCTGCAGGCAGCTGCGGCGGCAACCACGACCGTCACGACCACCACCAGCACCACCACGGCAGCTCAGAAGAAGCCCAAGAAGGTGCGCACAAATGGGGGGGGGGGGGGGTCCGAAACTAGGGGTTCCTCATTGGGGGTCCACGTATGATAAAGGGATTCCTACGATTTGGGATCTATATTAGAGGTGTCTTATTTGCGTAAACCTCCAAATCGTAGTTGAATGGGGGGTTTTTTAGGTACTATACGTGTCGGATGAGTTCATAATAGTATTCCCTCATGGAATTAAGCTATGTAAGGCTTAGTAGGGTTTTGGCTGTAGGAATGAGTTTAGAGGGTCGTCCTTTCGATGAGAATCTCTAAACCCTAAAAGCGTGGTCATGATGTTGTTCGTAGGGGGGCGAGCCTGGGTATTGCAGCAGAGGAACTCTGACCACGTTGGCTCTTGCGACTCAGGGTTTGGGGCTAGTCCTGGTTTAGGGTTTAGGGTTTAGGGTTAAGGGTGTAGAGTTGCATGGGCATTACAGGAGGGGAACTCTGACCACGTTCGCTCTTGCGACTCAGTTTTTAGGGCTTCGGGTTTAGAGTTTGGTCGTCCCACTGTTTCGTTGTTGCCGTTTCCTGCTTCAGATGCTGCTCACCAGTCATCACAACGAAGTGTTCCACCTTCAAGCTCACAGGGTTGATGCCTGATGGCTTGCTTACCTCACGAGTGTGCAAGCTTATGTCTTGAACGTCAGCTACCTAAGACTACCAAAGCGCTTCATAGCGGCAGGCTACAGAAACTTAGGAGCCCAGTGGTACCCTTTTGTGTTTCAAGGTTGCCTTTTTTTATGTAACCAGCCCAACAAAGGATGCCCTTACTATAACATGGTGAATTTCTGGGCTTCCAAGGAAAGAAAGTTTTAACTTTTGAAAGATATGGTTTTTGCTGTGTCAAGAGTGTCGAGTCTGAGGCTGATGCTTGATCCCCAAATCCCAAACCCTAAGCCCTGAACTCAGAACATCTAGGACCTAGAGTAATTAGGTCCCTTATTTTTCGGGTTTAGGGTCCCTGATAAACCCGGTAAAACCACAAAGGGCACGCTTGTTATCCCTACGTTACTCTTGGGTCTAGAACCGTAATGCCCTGAACTCGAACCCTAAACCCTTCCGCCTCCGCGCCAGGCGAAGAAGACGACGACCACCGCGGCCAAGACCACCACCACCACGGCGCCAGACACCACATCGTCAGTGGAGGCGGCACTACGGGGTGACCTACGCTGTTGAACCTTTTACGGTGTAGGGTTCAGGGTTCAGGGGTAGCCCAGTGGTAATCTCTATTCGTATAAACCCTTCGAAACAAATCAACGGGAACCCGTGCTCATGCTTAGGCACTGAGGAGCCCTAAACCCTAAAACCTGTAAATGCGGTGTTGAGCTACAGAGTTCTGGGATGTTTGGGTTTGCTGCTAGGGTTTTGGGTTGGGATGTTCCCCCTTATACTAACAGTCCTTAATAGGGATTATAATGGGGGGGTACTATAATCCCTATTAAGGGCTGTTAGTATAAGGGGGAACGCGTTTTGGGTTCGACATTACCTCGGCCCTAGCTCACGATACTCTTTGAGTCCCAGGTGGCAACTCGCATCGAACGGTGTTCCCCAAGCAGGGCACGAGGCTAAAGGTTCTTAGCCAGGATTACCCAAAACCCCAACCCACCCTAAACCCTAAACCCTAAACCCTCAACCCTAGCCCTAAACCCTAAAGCCTAAACCCTAAACCCCCACACCCTCACACCCCAAGCTCCAGCGGCCTATCGAAGATCCTAGAAGCAGCCAAGATGAGAACGCAGAAAACTCCTTCGCAAGAAAGGTGTGTGAGGGCGGGGGTGTGGCACCTTGTTGGGGTCCTTATGATAAGGGAATCCTACTATTTGGGTGAATTTGGGGCCCCCTGTTTTTGTAAACTCCCAAGTGGGGGGGGGGGGGGGGGGGGTTCCAAAAATGTGCAGTTTCTGCAAATACGGTCTAGGGTTTAGGGAGTCCCGTTTTTGGGGGATTCCGAAGGTAAGGATGCTACTCGGTTGGGGTATGTTGCGCGTGTGCCTGTGTGTGTGTGTGTGTGTGTGCGCGAAAAGCTTCATCGACCCTCTTAGCCATCAAACTAAGAAGCACCCTCAACCTGCTACCTCAACACCCCAACCCCCAGGCCCCACACCCTAAACCCTAAACCCTAAACCCTAAACCCTAAACCCTAAAACCCTAAACCCTAAACCCCCCCCCCCCCCCCCCCCCAAAAAAAAAAAACACCCACCACACGTTTTGGGGAGGCTCCTATGGTGAAGATCGTAAACTTTTGGTGGTGGAATCGGGGATCTTATTTTGTGCCACATGCCGATATGGTGCCATATCTCTGCCCTTTTTTGCTGCAAAGTGCAAGCCCCTAAACCCTCAACCCTCACCCCCCAACCCCCCCCCCCCCAAACCCTAAACCATAAACCCCCTTTACCCTAAACCCTCCTCCTAGCGCCAGGAGGAGCTCGAAGACGAGGAGACTTCGACCAGTCCCTACGACCGCAAGACGACCCCGAAGGGCAAGATTGGGATTGTTATTCTGTTTTTTCGGGTGCTTAATTAATTAAGGAAATATTCAAAATTTAATATTTCCTTACTTTGAGAGAACTGCCCATACATGAGTTCGGGGCAGGCCTTGAGGGGCTTTGGGGCGCTTTGGGGTGAAAGGGGCTAGTGAGCCCTAGACCCTAAACCCTAAAACCCTAAAACCCTAAAACCCTAAAACCCCAATTCCCCAAAACCCTAAAACCCTAAAACCCTAAAACCCTAAAACCCTAAAACCCCAATTCCCCAAAACCCTAAAACCCTAAAACCCTAAAACCCTAAAACCCTAAAACCCTAAAACCCTAAAACCCTAAAACCCCAAACCCTTAAACCCTAAAACCCTAAAACCCTAAAACCCTAAAGCCCTAAAGCCCTAAAGCCCTAAAACCCTAAAACCCTAAGACCCTAGATCCTAAAGCCCTAAAACCCTGCACCCCAAACCCCGAACCTAAAACCTAAAACCCTAAACCCTAAACCTTTTGGGGGAACTTCTCGGCTTCGGCCCTCAAAAGCAGCCCAGGCATGGAAGCTTCGACGAGTGGGGACGAGACGGATCCCGACCGCCTCGATGAGGCACCGGCCGTTGGGGCTGCATCTTGCATCTTGCATCTTGCATGGTTTGGGGTTTAGGGTTTAGGGTTGCGGGTGTTTGGGGTTCAGGGTTTAGGTTTAGGGTTTTTGGGGTTTAGGGTTTGTGGGGTTCAGGGTTTAGGGTTTTTCGGGTTTAGGGTTCTTGGGGTTTTGGGGCTTGGGGTTCAGGGTTTTACACCCTAAGCCAAAAGGGATGATGTAAAGCACCTATCCCTGAAGCCTGAACTCCCACAGACCTCACCCGAAAACCCTGAGCCCGAAATTCTAAACCCTAGAACCCCGTATATGCCCAAACCCCTAAACCCCAAACCCTAAGCCCAGGTGTAGGGTCTAGGGTTTAGGTCTAGGGTTTAGGGTTTAGGGTTTAGGGTTTAGGGTTTAGGGTTTAGGGTTTAGGGTTTAGGGTTTAGGGTTTAGGGTTTAGGGTGGAGAGGCCACCTCCACCTCCGGTGGAACGGACGAAGTGACGGAGGAGGCCATGGCTTGGACTTCAAGTTGTTCTTCTTATTGTCATTTTTTGGAGAGGGTTTAGGGTTTAGGGTTTAGGGTTTAGGGTTTAGGGTTGAGGGTTTAGGGTTTAGGGTTTAGGTTTTAGGATTACGGTTTAGGGTTTAGGGTTTAGGGTTGGGGTTGAGGGGGTTTGATGCCAGCATTACTAGGACCCGGAGTGGGCCCCTAGTCCACTTTTGTTAGGCCCCGGGTTCCCTTACAAGCCCCTTTCCAAACTCCGTGCTACTTTCTACCTAATCTGTTGCTTAAAGGGTTGATTGTTGATATTCATCTGGGTTTTTGGCGTGTAGGGTTTTTAAGGTTTTGGAGGGTTTGGGTTGGGGTTTAGTGTTTGGGGGCCCGCCCCATGAAGGCAATGTCCTGCCAGTAGGGGCTGGAAGGCATAAGGCTCCAGGGCGAAAGCCTCTTGCCGAAGCAAGGCCGGGCTCAGCACAAAGTAAGCGCGCTTAGGGTTTAGGGTTTAGGGTTTAGAAGTTGTTGCTTGAGGGTTTAGGATCTTAGACGGTTTTTCATGCCCTTTGTGAGGACGACGACGAAGAAGGAGACACCACCACGACCGAAGGTAACGACGTCGCGGCCAATCGCGAGTGAGTGACGAGCGACTTGCCACGGCATGTCTGAAGACATTGGCCAGTCTGTGCGAAAGAAGAAAAGCAATCCGACTTGTGGCGTCGGGTTTAGGGTTTAGGATTTAGGGTTTTAGGGTTTTAGGGTTTAGGGGTATGTAAAGCCGGGAACATTCAGAGGTTTCAAGGCATCCTTCTGTGACGGTTTGGTGCAGATCCTGACTGTAAGGATTCACACCCCTGCCACACCGGAGAACTCCCTTTACAGCACACACACACACAAACCACGAACGCACGTACCCGTGCCCGCCGCCCTGCCCACCCACACCCACGCATATCTGCACCAATGCCAAGAAATCAGCCAATCAGCACACTCAGAGACCCAACAGCATGTGTTCGTATTCGGCCCGTTTCCGGATGTGTTCCCTTTTTCTCCTGTCCGGTTTTGCAAACCTGTTGGATGTTGGCTCAGGGCCCCGTTTCCTTGAGTGGCAGAAACCAAACAGTACGTGCTGTCATATACTAACAGCACAACATGAGGCAAGCGGTTGGCCTTTGTTGAGCCTAAACCCTGACCCCCAAGGAAGGCTTCATCCATGGAGCTTAGAAACCCCAAACCCCAAACCCCAAACCCCAAACCCCAAACCCCAAACCCCAAACCCCAAACCCCAAACCCCAAACCCCAAACCCCAAACCCCAAACCCTAAACCCTAAACCCTAAACCCTAAACCCTAAACCCTAAACCCTAACCCTAAACCCTAAACTTAGAACCCACAAACCCTTCGCTGCATGCACCGGGGGTTCTGGCTACAGCTGCCACCTGCCGGAACCCACATGCCTTAGGGTTTAGGGTTTAGGGTTTAGGGTTTAGGGTTTAGGGTTTAGGGTTTAGGGTTTAGGGTTTAGGGTTTAGGGTTTAGGGTTTAGGGTTTAGGGTTTAGGGTTTAGGGTTTAGGGCCAGTAGCTCTCACTTATTTTCGGCCAGGGAAGTAAGGTTTAGGGTTTGGGGTGAAGGGGTGAGTCCCTCAACCCTATGCCCATTTGGGTCTCTACATTCTCTAGGACCGGGGGTGTAGGGTTTAGGGTTTAGGGTTTAGGGTTTAGGGTTTAGGGTTTAGGGTTTAGGGTTTAGGGTTTAGGGTTTAGGGTTTAGGGTTTAGGGTTTAGGGTTTAGGGCCTGAATATGAAAGGTTGCATGCCAAGATGGGCCTAGCAAGGCACTCTACTTTAGGAGTGCCGACGTGTGCCGTTCAGGAGGGAGATGGCCTTGCTTGTGGGGTCCATTTCCTGTTCTTAAGTGGGTTTAAGGTTGAGGGGAGACAAATGGTTACTCTAGGTAGACACCCGATCAAAAATGCCTAAACCCCACGATCCCTTAAACTCTTTCAGACATCGAACCCACCCTAAACCCTAAACCCTAAACCCTAAACCCTCAACCCTCAACCCTAAACCCTAAACCCTAAACCCTAACCCTAAACCCTAAACCCTAAACCCTAAACCCTAAACCCTAAACCCTAAACCCTAAACCTCACACCCTAAACCCTCAGTAGCCGTGTCACCGCCATGGCGGTGGCCACCTGGCCAGACAGGCGCCATGACCTCAGCGATGTGCTCAAGTGATCTGGCAGGTTCTTTGTAGGGAATGAGGGAAGGAGGGAAGGAGGGAAGGAGGGAAGGAGGGAAGGAGGGAATGAGGGAATGAGGGCCCTATATATATATATATATACAACAGATCTTATTAATTTGTTTAATATTATTGTTATTATTCTGATTATTATGATTATGATTATTATTATTATTATTGTTATGATTATTATATATATACATAGGGCCCTCATTCCCTACAAAGAACCACGGGGTGGTGGCTTCTGTTGGGCTCGGGCTTTTCTAGCCCTTAGAGGGGTTCCTTTCGTGGAGGCCACGCTGAAGCGCCTGTCCTGCGCCGAACTCTGACCCTAAGCCCGGAAAACCTAAGAGTAAAATAGGCTTCGAAGGCCAGCCCTAAGGCCCTAAACCCTAAACCCTAAACCCTAAACCCTAAACCCTAAACCCTAAACCCTAAACCCTAAACCCTAAACCCTAAACCCTAAACCCTAGCACTTCTCGCCATGAAATTCTCCACTTTCACGCACTTCGCTCACTTGTTAGGGATTCAGAAGCCCGAAACCTTTCACCCTAAGTGGAGTCCCCGGTAGGGGTGCGAGGCTCCCAAACCTTAAAACCATGGTTTAGGGTTTAGGGTTTAGGGTTTAGGGTTTGAAGTTAGGGTTTAGGGTTTAGGGTTTGGGTTTTGGGGTTTAGGGTTTGGGGTTTAGGGTTTAGGGTCAAGGGCTTGAACTCAGCAACTAAGAAATTGTGACCCCCGCCGGTTAACTCCAAAACTTCTAACCGCCTGAGGATCTTTCGATGGCAGTCCACGGCGCGTGGTCTCATCCAGGTGTGTTGGATGAAACAGTTTAGGGTTTAGGGTTTGGGGTTTAGGGGTTAGGGCTTAGGGTTCAGCATCTCAAGTTCGAGCATTTACTAGGCCAGCAGTGTGTGTAGGCAACGGAACAAAACCCACCCGCCCCAAGAATCCCATAACATTACGAAAATAGAAAGTTTATTGATTTCTCATTCGTGCTTGAACCATGGAGGGTTGGAGAGGTCAAATTTCAGGGGACACAGAGCGGTCAAAATGGATCAAATTCTCCAATTCGTGCCGCACAATGGGGGGTCAAAGGGGTCGGAAGGGTCGAGATGGATCAAATTCTCCAATTCGTGCTGAACAATGGGGGTAAGAGGGCTCGAAATGGATCAGATTCTCCAATTCGTGCCTAACAATGGGGGGTCAAAGGGGTCGGAAGGGGTCGAAATGGATCCAATTCTCCAATTCGTGCCAAACAATGGGGGGTCAGAGGGGTCGGAGGGGCCAAAATGGATCAGATTCTGAACAATGGGGGGGTCAGAGGGGTCGGAGGGGCCGAAATGGATCAAACTCTCCAATTCGTGCCGAACAATGGGGGTCGAATTCTCCAATTGGTGTTTAACATTTAGGGTTATATGGTAGAGAGGCTTAGGGTTTAGGGTTTAAGGTTTAGGGCTTAAGCCCTAAACCCTGGCATACAGAACTCTTTGTGTTCTGGGCTGGGTCTTGCAAAGCTGTTCCAAGGCCTTCGGAAGTTGTTCCCAGACGGGCTACTGCCTTTTACTCTTCTGTTTTTGTAGTAGGGTGTGAGGTTTAAACCCTCGACCCTAAGCCCTAAATCCTAAACCCTAAGCCCTAAACCACAACCCTAACCCTAAACCCTACACCCTAAACCCAAATCTTAACTCTAAACCCCCTAAACCATATCCTGCAGGCCTTGCGTATAGAAGGGCGCGGATCCCTCGTAAAACGCACTTCTGTTGGTTGCCAGGAGTTTAGGGTTTAGGGTTCAGGGTTAGGGTTTAGGGTATAGGGTTTAGGGTTTAGATCCGTGCTTGGGGTACGAGGGAGGGTAGTTGCGGAGCTCTTTGTGTGTGTTGGGGTACGTGCCAGTCCAGGAGCCAAAACAAGTATCAATTCAAAAGGATCCTGTCTGCACCCGCGCTGCAATGTGCATTCGGTAAACCCTACCCCCCAGGCCCTGATGGCACCTTTTTACTTCCTCCAGAACAGTTCATTTACAAACTACCCAAGGCAGGGTGCCCATTGAAATGTACCCTGAGCCCCAGCCCCCTAAAGCCAGATTCAAACTATGCAGGCCCTATCAATGTCGTCTGAGTTTTGGGAGGGCCCTTTGTTCTGAGACTTAGTTCGAGAAGCTTATGAACCCTGAGAAGGGTGAAGGTTTTCGAGTTGTAGGGTTTAGGGATTTGGGTGTTTTATTACCGGGGAGCATCCCTTTTCTGCAGGGGCGGCAGCTAGGTACCTCTCAGCTTGGGATTCAGACATGAGAAACCCACGGCCTGAAATAATTAAGCAAACGGAGTGGAAGATGTCCTGCTCAAGGTTTCGGGTTTAGGGCTTAGGGTTTACGGGTCTGGTTTCGTCCTCAACGTGTGATTCGGATCACAAGCAGCAGAGCAGCAGCAGCAGCAGCAGCAGCAGCAGCAGCAGCAGCAGCAGCAGCAGCAGCAGCAGCAGCAGCAGCAATGTGGGCCATGAAGTTGACTTCATGTGGGTTTAGGGTTTAGGGTTTAGGGTTTAGGGTTTAGGGTTTAGGGTTTAGGGTTTAGGGTTTAGGGTTTAGGGTTTAGGGTTTAGGGTTTAGGGTTTACGGTTTGCTGAAGCAGGCACGATAGTGCCAGCTAGAACTAGCTGCTACCCTTAGACGGCTAAACTCGTGTCATGCTGCAAGTGTCTGAAGAGGGGCGGCTCCGCTGCTTGAACATGGCTGGACTGGCTCCGCATCCTGGATTCTGCAGGTCAAGCGCCTAAGAATCAGGAAAGGTGTTGAAGCCACTAGCTAAGCCTTGCTTACTACGGAACAGAATTCCTACTGAGAACCTTTGCTTATACGCTTGTGCCTTCTTGCCTGGGCTTTGGAGTACTATACTTTAATACTTTTTTTGTTTTGGGTTCCCATTATAGCTACTTATACCTAAAAAGTATATACTTTTTTTCTCTGGGTCTACTCCAGAGGTAGGTTGCAGTATTTGCACCAGAGTTGATGCAGATGCTGCATCGCGACGGCAGCCTTTGTCGGTTGCTGACGGAACTCGCAGACACTGCGGGAGTTTCTGGGCCCCGAAGCTCCAGAGGGTTTAGGGTTTAGGGTTTAGGGTTTCGGGTTTAGGGTTTAGGGTTTAGGGTTTAGGGCCTTTGCACAAGTGCCCTCTCCATAATCCAGTGCCGGGTTGACCGTCAAGGCTGGTCGTCTTTATTTGAGCATCGGGCCAGGGCCGTCAGGGGTCTGCCACCAACGCTGGCGCTATGCTTTCTTGACGAAAACGACATTAGCCCCCCCCCCCCCCCCCTTGTTGAGCCCAAAAGCTTTTCTCACTCATAAACCGCAGCGTCCAGAACCCAAGTATAACTTAAACCCTAAACCCCAAACCCCA